GAGAATGAGACATGGAAGCATCAACATACACACCAAGGTCTTTCTCATAATCAGCTACCTTTATTTCAGTAGGTCCCATAAAATACCTGTACTTTATATTTCTGGTCCCTACATGGAGTACCTTACATTTGTCTATATTAAATTTCATCTGCCAGGTGTCGGCCCAGTCAACAGGATTGAATTTAAAAATGGCTAAAAGCAAACAAACAGGCTTTCAGAATCAGACTTATTTTTCTTGATTTTCCAGATCAGCCTTGGACCTTCACCTTCAAGTTCAAACGGGCAGAGGGTTACCCAGTAGACCTGTACTATCTCATGGACCTCTCCTATTCCATGAACGACGACCTGCAGAACGTGAAAAGTCTGGGGAAGGACCTTCTGAAGGCCCTGCGGCAAATCACCAAACAATCACGTATAGGTGAGTGTAGAGGAAAGGACTCATCATATTTGTTTCATAGACTCTTAATGGAGACCTGTTCTTCTACATCAAGGGATGACATGACCAGGCTATTCAGCCAGTGTGTCTCCTGCCCAGCACTATGTGATATCAAAAATAAAGCGGATTGGTCAGGGTTGTCATGCTGAGGTCAAATGGCGGGGTAACACATATGTCTGTTTGTGCTGCAGGGTTTGGCTCATTTGTGGACAAGGTCGTGCTCCCATACACGAGCACCAACCCCAAGAGAGTGCAGAAACCCTGCCCTGATAATGAGCGCTTCTGCCAGCCGGCATTCGGCTACAAGCATGTGCTAAGCATGACAGACAATGAGATTCTGTTCAATAAAAGAGTCTCGGAACAGGCCATTTCCGGAAACCTGGATGTCCCCGAGGGGGGGCTGGATGCCATCATGCAGGCTGCAGTTTGTGGGGTGGGAGCCTCAAGACACAGGGTGGCTGGGGGGGTTTGGCCTCCTCAGACATTCCTCGGTGCTGGAAGCCCAAAAAGGCAGCATGCTGGCTTCCAGTTTGTTGTCTACTCCCTTATGTGTGTGCCCCCCCCCCCCCCATAACACTTCCTGTCATCAACAGGACAAGATTGGCTGGGGTAACAGCACCCGGCTGCTGGTGTTCACTACTGATGCTGGATTCCACATGGCGGGAGATGGCAAGCTGGCAGCCATCTTGGAACCTAACGACGGGCGCTGCCACCTGGATGCCAAAATGCTGTACTCGAAAAGCAGTGAGATGGTGAGGAGGAGGGGCACAAGGGGGTGTTCCTTTGGGGGCTCTGTCAAACGTCACCATCTGAATGCACTTGCTGTCCTGTGTGATGCTTCAGAATTAGTGTCTAGCTGCAAGGTCAAGCTCACTCTTAAATTCAAGCACCTGGTTGCTTCTGTTGCCCCCCTGGCCAAGCCGATAGACTCCAGATGAGCCTAACCAGCCTGGTCTGTTCCTAGGATTACCCCTCTGTCGGTCAAGTCATGCAGAAGCTGGTGGAAAACAATATCCAGCCAATCTTCGCCGTCACCAAGGACGTGGAACCAGTGTACAGGGCAAGGCTACCGTCTGGTCACTGAAAGCACAGGAGCATACATGCAGCTTGGCTCTCTATAATGCCTTGTGACTGCTATGCGATTAACTGTTAGCTGGGCTCTACAGGAGTGGGAAAAGCACAATGAGAAGTGTAAACATGTTGCTGATAAAAGGGAAACAGATGGAATTGGATAGTGGGAGAGTCACATGGTTTCTGACAGTCACATACTATACACAAGCCAAAGGACAGAGTGTAAAAAAGTGAGCCCAGGCTGCTCGAATAAAGTAAAAACCCACATTTTACCATGATTGATCCTTCGCCGTGATAAAATGAAACAAATCAGCAAGTACATGAAGAGGGATATTTCATGATATTATATTTTTTGCCTTAATACAGAGACTGAAAGACATCATTCCCAAATCAGAGGTCGGTGTGTTGACTTCCGATTCAAGCAATGTGATCAGTCTGATCCAGAACGCATACCGGGTGAGCACCGGTGCCCCTCTCGGGCCATCCAGCTGTGCGCTCTGCGCTCTCTATGTGTGCTCTGTCATCTACATGCTGTTGTCCCCTTCGTATCTTCACAGAACCTTTCATCTAATGTGATTGTGACTCATGATGATCTTCCCGATCATGTGACCGTCATGTACACATCAAACTGTCCTAATGGGGATCTGCCCAGCATCAGAGGGACATGTGACAATGTGGGGATTGGGAAGGAGGTTGGTACCAAGTGCTGCTGTCAGGTCAGAGCTGTGGGAGCTGGGATCCACAGTGGCCCGCTTCCCAGATGGCTGTGAGTTTGGGTGTGGCCCTGTGCTCTGACGGCTGTGCTGTGTGTGCAGGTCGAGTTCAATGTGACTGTCACAGCCCACAAGTGTTTGAATGAGCAGAGCTTCCTGATCGGACCTCTGGGCTTCAGGGAGAAGATCAGGGTCAACCTGACGACTAGGTGTGAGTGCGAGTGTGACGACAGGAAGGACAGCAATCACCAACACTGCAATTCACAAGGTCAAGTCAGCTGTGGTACCTGCAGGTGAGTCTGCAGCTCAGATCCAGCGTTCTCCCGGTGCACATTAGCAACTGATCTTCTCTTAGTTAAAGTCAACATGTTGACAGCAACAGAATATGTGCATTTTTGGCACATCTGAAATTAAAGGTCTGCTGCTCTTTGCGTTTCTGGGGGTCTGTCCTTCTTAAAGCTGCAACAAGGGCTTTGTGGGGCAGAAATGCGAGTGCAAGATCGGCGATAAGAGTGAGGCAGAGCTGCGACAGGCGTGCATGCCCGTCAACGGCTCCATGTGCTCGGGCCAGGGTGAGTGCGTGTGCGGCGTGTGCCACTGCTCTCCTGGTGAGGATGGCCGCAGCATCTACGGCAGATTCTGTGAGTGTGACGACAGAAGCTGCCCACTCTCCCGGGGGCAACCATGCGGAGGTAGGGTGCCCCCTGCTGACCCTTCGTTACACTTTGTTACACTCTAAGCCCCCTAAGCGTTCCTAAACGTTCCCTGTTTTCTGTGCCATTCCACCCCCTATCAGGACAGGGCCGGTGCTCATGTGGAACATGCAACTGTAACCCTGGGTATGAGGGCGATGCCTGCGACTGCAGGAAGTCAGATAACAGGTGCCGGACAGGCAATAAGGTCTGCTATGGGCGCGGCAACTGTGTGTGCGACGTCTGCAATTGTACCGTGGGCTACACGCGGCCGTTCTGTGAGACCTGCCCCGGCTGCCCGGCGCTCTGCGAGAGAGTGGCGTAAGCATGTTCTCGAAAAAAAAAACCCTAACACTAATGCTAATGTTAACTCTAATCCTAACCCTAACAGTCCTTGAGCATGCATTTGCATGATTCTGGTGTGGAATCAGTCACATTAATGATTTTGACTTTCTGACTTTGATATAATCACATACATACGCATTGGTTTAGCAGCCTTTCTCGACTTATCTAATTGCCTGTCAGACTCATTTCTGAGAAACTCGCAGTCACTCTGAATGAGCTTCTGCAAACCAGATTGTTGCTTCAGCTGGATGTTGTGAACACAGCAGAATTTGCAATATGACACCACAGAAAGGGTCCGGATGCTTTTGCAAGGTGTTCTACATTAAGAAGCACATTGATGCCGTCGTTGGGCCCCTGAGCCCAACCTTGCACCGTGATCAAGGTTGCTCTCACACCAAAGGGGATGAATAAAGTATCTCTGTTCTATTCCCTAAGGGATCATGACTCCCTGAGGCTGTGCTCTTTGGGGTCCTCATGCCTTGGGCAGTGCAGGTGCAGGCCAGCCCTGTGTATAATGTTGCTTCCTTGATATTTCAGGAGCTGTGTCGAGTGCCATATGGATGAGCGGAAGGGGAACTGCTTGGTCTGCCAGGGTGTGACCTATAGGGAGGAACCAGACCTGAAGGAGCAGCGGCTCTGCAAGCGCAGGGGGACCGACGGTTGCCAGATGATCTACAGCACCAAACAGCTGCAGGGTGTTGAGCAGTATGAAGTCATCTTTAGGAATAAAGGTCTGTGGTGCTGTGGAAACATTACCGTTTCACACATGCTGGGCGACAGCGCTACGTAGCTCACAGCAGGTTCACCTCCAGCCACATTTGAGGGGGCAGTGTGTGTGTGTGGCTCAGTGGTTTAGGAAACTGTGCCTGTGAGCGGAAGGTAGCTGGTTCAAATTCTAAGGTTTGCAGAGAGATTTCACCTTTGCATGTTCCAGGGACTAGCTGACTCTGTCTGCATTTCAGAGTGCCCAGAGCCCCCTGATCTCCGCCTTATCATTGGAGGGACCTTCTCTGGGGTGGCCCTAATCGGGATCCTTCTACTGCTGGCCCTCAAAGCTTTCATACACATGAGGGACCTCAAGGAGTTCAGGAGATTTGAAAACGAGCAGAAGAAGTCCAAATGGAGCAAAGTGAGTGTCCTTCTGGGGTGACAGCAGTGAGGCACAGGGCTGTTGGGGGTGGGTTGAATCATTCTGATTCAAGTATGTATTGCTTAGTTTCAAAATGGTAGACAGCAGCAACCTCCACATCAGCTCTTCCTGACATGAATAAAAAAAAAAAGAATACATGATGCAAATAAAACCAAAATAGACATGAGAGGGATAAACAAACCCCCAGGAAATACCATGTGCTCATCTGGTACTGGAAATGACCCCACGTCCTTTTCATGTCATCTTTTAGTTGGAAATGCTTTGGGCAGACCCTTTAAATGTTCAGACACAGAATTTTAAGCATCTTAAGAAAAGAGATTAAGATAAAATTATGTATAACTAGTAATCTGTCCCACGAGAAACCGCCAGGGCTTGGTGAGCCAGAGGAACCATGAAGCCAGACGCACAAGATTGTTTGTTTTCATTGCTGTCTCTTTCGCTTGTCCTTTGGCAGGCAGACAACCCGCTGTTCAAGACTGCAACAACCACCGTGCAGAACCCAAACTTCGGGGGGGACTGATGTGCGCAGTGTCAGACCTTACAGTATGGTGAGGTTTAGTGCAGTGCTGTCCCAGACAACACAAGGTCAGCTCAGAGTAGGTTGTAGTCATGGCCTGTGGATGACTAACTGTACACCAGACTGCAATCTTTGTTATTTTTACTCTTCCTACAAGTCTGTTTGCTGTGATAAATGCTCATGCTAGTACCTCTCAGCTTTGGAAATGCTGTATTGCTAATGGTCCTGCTCTCTTTTGTGCCACTTTGTCAATGTGGGGTCAGAATATGTAAATTATAAGATCCTCTATTTGCAAAAACATTAAATGGATTGAGCCAGTTGTGTGTCGTGTTTGTTGCATTCTCCTTATTGGGCAGTTAGCCTACCCATCTGCCAGCAGCCTAGTAGCGTTATCAGCATTCACAGTTTACACACAACTTCTGCCAAATGTGTATCCCAGGAAGCAGCAGGATTTCTTCCTGGGATGGCCTGAGAGGAGCTTATCAAGAAGGTCTCTACAGCACCTGGAGAGATGGGTTCCTCTGCACATGAGGAATGTAGCTAAACAGGGGCAGCCAGGAAGCAAGATAGGAAGTGTCCCCAGTTATGTAAGGGGGGAGGGGGAGGTGCTGATCTGTGAGGAATTACTTAGAAACAGAAAAGGTGAGTTTGAATAATGTACTGGGAGAGGGAGAGTAGGGGGTGAGAGAGAGAGAGAAAGAGAGAGAGAGGGAGGGAGAGAGAGAGAGAAGGGAAGAGAGGGAGACGGAGGCACGACCGAGGACAGCAGCATCCCTTACAGAGGTAGGTGAGCTTCATGTTGACAGGTTATTTCCAGGCCTTTTTCAATTAAATTGTATGTTGGCACCTTCCAACTGATCTTAATTCACACTTATGGGGGTAAGTTCTCAGTTTTATCTAACTTTGGTGAACCTTTCTGAAGGGGTACTTGTGTTGGGGGGCACCTGCTGACCATAATGGTAGGGCTGGGGGGGGGGGGTGGCACCTGCTGACTGTGACTGTAGGGCTGCAGGTGGACACCTGCATTCTGTGACCATAGGGAGAAAGCTGGGGTATTCAAGACACTTAATCAGAAAGCGATCCTAGTTCAGATTGAGGAGGTGGGCTTGGTAAACCAGCATAGTGTTAGTTAGGCTAATTCCGTGTTAGGTGAACAAGAGAAGGAGTTGGGTCACTCTGTGGGAAAGGCTGAGCATTTCTATGAATGCCTGTGCTGTGGGCGATGCCCTTCTTCACCAAATTGTTATAGGAAAAGAGAAAGTGAAAGGCTTCTGGAAAAATCGACCTGAACAAAGTAGGAAAATTGCAAAGACAAACACTTGGCAGCACAAGGTCTGTGGGCTGGGGCCCTTTCAAAGCAAGAGTGAAACGAAACAGGAAGCAGGGGGGGTGAATATGTATGCCCCTCTCTATTCCTCACAGCCCTCTGGTAACTTATAACTGGCAGGAAATCAGTCCAGGGGCCAAAGGGCAGGCAGCTGACATACAACATGAAGGGCTCCTTTCTGAGACAGACGGGGAGATTCCCAGTGTCTTAGCACGCATTTTGAAAAAGCTTAAGCCTTGGTGGATACCTAGAATCCTTCCAGCATCTGAGACCCTCACAGCAACAATCCCTACCTGTCATGGGGATGGTGGTGACACACACCAGCATGCAGAACGCCCACACTTACCATATATGGGCATGGAAGTGACAGGTGTGGCAGGTGATCAGTCAGCGAGACTAGCCGTGAAGTTCAGTCTGCGTGATCCTCCAGCCGCCAGCCACTTGCCTCCATCGCAGTGCTCCCCCCATGCAGCAGGTGAGTCCTGCCTGGCCCGCTTCAGTCCCAGGTCCGACCCACTTTCGCAGGTAATGAGCAGCTTTACATTAAACCATGCTTGAAGGAAGAGTAATATTCGATTAAATTTCATTTACATCGATAGCAAAAGCAATATAATGCAATGAGTACAGAGACGTGAAATAAATGTGGAGAAGTGCACGGTAGATCAAACGACAGCAACAGACAGCATGGACAGGTTTATACATGGGAAGCTTCTTGGCTTTGATTGTAATTCCTTGGCTTCGATCTGCTGTAATACCATACCCACTCTCTTTCATGTGGGAGAGCACCTCAGCCGAGCTCCATACAGCTGCATGGCACACTCGCAGAGGCTCAGTGCTGCCAGGGCAGCTGGAGTTAGGCCATGCTAGAGCTACAGCAGCTAGGATGACCTTTCTACCAGAAAGGCACCTGAGCGACTGCTATGTGTTCAGAGCTGGAGGAGGAATGGGAGGGGGGGTGGGCCCACGCACTGCTGAAATGGTTTCCTCAAAAAAAACATCATCCCAGCAGAGGAACATTAGGCAGGATCAGATGTGTCTGCTAGCTGGTGTGTGCTATGCTAATCGCTAACCTCATATCCAGAAAGATCAGTGCACTGCTACCTTTGTACTCTGCCTTTATCGTGCTTTCCATAAATCAGATTTATTTCCATGTTGCCACAGTGACAGCCACAAAAGGTAACCTTTGCTAATCATCCTATTGCTAATTCACCCGCAATGGGCCCACTCAATCTCCCAAAGCCATAATCCACTATCATTAGACCTCTGGGCAGTTGTGTAAGCTGATAGCGATAAGCAGGGCAATAAAAGAGCTTCTGCGAAGTGCCTTGTAGTACGGCTGTGGCAGTGCTCACAATGTTCGCATGGAGGATCAGTTCTTAGAGCAGAACCACACAAACAGCGGCTGCCTGCTTATCATGCTGAAGCGCCAACTGAGCTTCACTGCCCTCATGGGGGGTCGGGTTCTTGATCAGAAAGGAGGGAGGAACATAGGCACAGAGGCCAGCTGCCCTGCACCATCCGCCAGGAGCCAGGCACCGTAACGACAATCCCCCGCACGTTCAAATATTTGGTCAACACTGAAGGAGACATGTCAGATGACTTTTACTGTCGTAAGCCGGGTGATTCACAGAAACTCTAAATAACGAAGTGAGTAACTCAAGTAAAGTCAATCATTTAGTGACTACTTAGAAGTTTATCAGTTTGACTGTAATGCCTGTCTATTTTTGGTGATATGTGCCTTAATAATATAGCACATTACTACTCTACACTTTTCATGTCTAAATCTTCCATGTATAACTGCTCCCTATTTGTTTACAGCTTACATACAGTTTATGGTGAAAGATAACCAGATAATTAGACAATAACCTGCTGCCCGCGAGTTCCATGGAACAAAGCCCTGTTTTGCAGGGGGTGGTGCCTACAGAGGTGTGCCAGCGTGAGGCAGGGGGAGCCTGGGGGCTTGTTATGCTATCGCTGATAAAAGACACTGTTTGGAGTCGTTCTTTTTAAAAAGCGGGTGATTGTTTGGTCCTGAGGAGATACTGAGGCAGATGGGACACTTCAGAGTCCCCAGAGAGTGGATATGTTCACAATGCTCCTGCTAATGATGAGGCTGAAAGTCGACCATCATCCTCTTACCTCCTTAATGCAGCAGGATTAGGGAGAAGGTGCAGAATCTGTTAATGTCATCACACATGTCATTATAATTCAGCCCTGAACAGGACACATAGCCAGACTCTCACAAACATGCTGAGAGGCCATAAAAAGTAAAAAAGTAAATAAGTACCCATCATGGTTCCATGCAACAGAGAGTCCGTGTAACAGCATTATTTTGTCTTTCTTTCACTTCCCCCCCACCCACAAAGGCATTTCCCTGAAGCTGCTACCATGTCACAAGTCAAAACACCAGTTACAAAAGTGCTCAATAAAACAACCCCAGGCCTTCAGATATGGAGGATAGAGGTGAGAAAATCGAACCCCCATCTAATGGCAGAAGTTATGCCATCTGATGTTGCGTCAGATAGAAACATGAAGAGCACAGAAATAGAAACATGAAGAGCACAGAAATAGAAATGTGTTTCTAATCTTTGTAGCTCTTGGGTTTTGGAAACCACAGTTTTGAAATATGTTTGTCTGCACAGAACATGGAGATGGTTCCAACACCACCAAAGACTTACGGGCAGTTCTTTGAGGGGGACAGCTACATCATCCTAAACGTATGTCCTATGAGATGCTGACCACAGTGTGCAGCTAGACATAATTGGACTGACTCCCAATTCAGCATGCTTTTCCAGAAGCACATTTCACATAGGCAGCAAACGGCCCATCACCAGGCTAACAGTCACATCATTTAAACATTTAGTAAATGCAACACAAACCCACTCACACTATAAAGTAAGAACAAAGGATCAGTTTTAAGACTAAATCACTTATCTAATAATATACCTCCTCAAATCAAATCTTTTAGTGTAATTAAAACATTTCTGGTCATTTTCTATTATGTTGTGCAGTTGTTGTCATATTATAACCACAGATAGTAACACAGTGTTTCATACATCTTGTCCTTCATTGGTTTGCCTGTAAAATAAACACACACTCATTCTCTCTCTCTCCTTCGGGCTGATGCAGACCCAGAAGTCCAGCAGCAGCTTCACGTATGAAATCCACTTCTGGCTGGGCAGGGAGACATCACAGGATGAGCAGGGGGCGGCAGCCATATACACCACGCTGATGGACGAGCACCTGGGGGGCGTGCCCGTGCAGCACCGTGAGGCCCAGGGCTGTGAGAGCGACACATTCCGGGGCTATTTCAAGCAAGGAATCATGTGAGCACCCCGCTTCCCCCACTGAGCTGGACAGGAGCTACGGTGACCCCAGTTAACCGGCCCATTTACAGAGTTCAGCCCATACGCCGAGGCACACTCAAAACATGAGCTCCTTCTGAGGGAACATAACATTGCACCTTTTTCAGGAAGTCGCCATTCTGCTACTGCAACATTCGATGTAATAAGAAACGACATCCTCAACAGGGAAGTTAGAGGCGGTTAGCACATTTACTTGACTAATGTTTAAAGGTCACTGCTGACGCCACCACCTTCCCATGCACATCCTGGGGGGGAGGTTTGGGGAGAGGGTACTGGTGTGTCAACCATCTTGACATGGCCCTCTGACACAGGTACAAGAAGGGCGGCGTGGCATCGGGCCTGAAGCAGGTGGAGACCAATATTTACAACATCCGTCGACTGCTGCACGTCAAGGGGAAGAAGCACGTTGTGGCCGGAGAGGTGAGGAGGGCCACGTCCAGGTTTCCACAAGAGAACAGGCATTTCGGTACACGGTGGACTGACCCAGTTCCAGGTTTCAAACCAACCCCTCCCTCCCCCACCATCTTTGATTTGCCCTGTGGGCCATGATGTGAATGATAATCCCAGTAAAAGTCTGTTTCGCTCAGGCTGCTTAGGTCAAGCACCCAAGTAGAACTGAACAGCCACTTCTTGTAATCACAAGCACCGTTATTTAACCGGCATATCTCTTGCTGCCCAAAGTCAGACCTGAGCACATGTAATCTTTGCGATGCAGGCTTTCAGTTCGATATTTTTTGGGGTCAGGTGGAGGTGAGCTGGGCCAGTTTTAACAAGGGCGATGTCTTCCTGCTGGACCTGGGCAACCTGATCATCCAGTGGAATGGACCCTTGAGCAACCGCATGGAGAGACTCAAGGTAGGCCTGCTTCCAGCGGAGCCAGTATCGAGTCCCACCGCTCAGCCCCTGTTAATCAGAAATGCGCCTCACAGGGCATGAACCTAGCCAAGGACATTCGGGACCGTGAGAGGGGTGGCCGGGCAAAGGTGACTGTGGTTGAGGGTGACGATGAGAAGGCCTCTGAGGACGCCATGAAGCTCATAAAGCAGGTCCTTGGGGAGAGGCGGGAGCTCAAGGATGCCATCCCCGATGAGGTGGTGGACCAGAAGCTGAAATCCAGTGTGAAGCTCTTCCAGTGAGTTCTGTCCAGGATGTAGCCACTTTGCTGTGACATGGAATGACATTTAACCATGTGACATTTAACTCCTACCCTCTTCACTAGAATCACAGATGCTGAGGGGAACATGGTGGTCCAGGAGGTGGCCACCAAACCTCTGACCCAAGACTTGCTCAACCACGAGGTGGGTTAGCAACAAGAGTGGAATTGATCACACCAAAACAATACACACAATTTCGGACACACCCATGTAGCATATACCATGTTCAAACATTCAAAAAGTGTATCACATTGAATACATGCATAATAAAACAATTGAGATCTGTTAAAATGCCTAAAATTAATAAGTCAAAGGCTGTATAATGGAAGACCACAAATTTTAACCAATTTTAATATAAAGAGACAAGACTTCAAATCGTCAGCTCAGAAAAGTACTTGCTAACAAGTCAGTACCATTGAAGTGGGTTCCTAAAGCCATAAGTGTATCATGGGGACTGGGCCCAGAAGAGGTCTCGTATCTGACACAGCAGACAGATTCAGGGATCTGGCAAAGAGTTCAGTCCAAACCAGGAAGTATTACACAGCTCAAAAGAAGAAATACCACCAAATACAAAGCAAATGGAGGGAGGGACAAAAAATGTCTCAACCAACCAAAATAAGGCAACTCACAGGGCTGCATGTGATAGCAGCAAGGTTATCCTTAGTGAAAACTAAAAGCCTAAACTAACTACCGAAATCAAATGATATCAAAATAAAAAAGTACAACTAAACAAAAACTATTAATATGCCTTCTGAAACTAAAATAAAACAGACATCAAATATGTTCTGTTACCATAAAAAATATCTAAAGTGATATGCTTACCTTTAATGACCATTAATAATACCTGGAACATGGCCTTGCCCATTTTTAAGGCATTAATACATAATATGCATTGTGTATTCATGTAGAATTCTCTATAAACCAGACACACATAATAGCTCTACAACCTTCAGTCTATCCTTAGAAATAAAATTACTAAAAGTTAAATATATATATATAAAAAACTAAATATGATAATATTTAAAACATAAAAAATAATAAAACCATACTGAAAACTAAGAGTTAAACGGGATTTCAAATTAAACACCTAAATATAAAAACTGAGTAATAAAAAAAACTATAGTAACACTAGATAGCATGGACTGATGCACCAGTGTCTCCAACTGAAGCAGGAAACACTGGAAACTGGTAAACCGACAATAGTGCCAAAGAAATCCAGTGACCGAAGGCCCATGTAATATACTAACCACATCAGGATGGCCCATATTTGTAGTGTTTCCACTTTACATTATTTGAGGGTGATGCTGAGTTGGACTGGGGAGTATAAGTACTTCATGAAGTGTGACCCTGGATGTCCTGGTGCATTTCCGACATCACTCATCAATGACTTTCTGTTCCCCAAAACAGGACTGCTACCTGCTAGATCAGGGAGGAATCAGAATCTTCATCTGGAAAGGAAAGAAGGCTTCCAAGACAGAGAGGGCTGAAGCTTTGAATAAAGCAGAGGTGAATATGACAGTGGAACGGTAAAGTAATACTGCACATGTAACATGCTCGAATACAGAACACCCTTAGTGTGCATTTCCAGCAAGCAGATTTTTTCTTCAATACAGTTGTTCAATTTGTATGATGTGATGGCTTCCTATTTAGCTATAGTACTTATTAGTTACTTAAAGTTCATTGTTAAGTACGACTTAAGGTTTCTTCATCACTTTAGCATTATATAAATTATGTACTATTGTTATAAATATACATGAACTGTAAGGAGGAGATATGGGGGAGCAGTATGTGGCTCATTGGGTTAAGGCACTGTGTCTGTGATCAGAAGGGCACCAATTGAAATCCCTGGGTTGGTAGAGTAACTCACAGTTGAACCTTGCTTTCTCAACTGTACGTTGTTTTGAATAACAACAACTGAGAAATATAAAATAAACGTTTTCAATTTAGGCATACAAGAAAGCAAAGGGCTACCCTCCCTCAGTCAACGTGGAGATGGTGAACGATGGTGCCGAGTCATCAGTGTTCAAGCAGCTGTTCCAGAAGTGGACCGTCAAGGGCCAAACAGTGGGACTGGGAACAACACATACACGGGGCAAAATAGGTAAGTGTGGATGACGCAACTGGGAAGTCAGCTGGACGAGATGTTCAGGTTTAGTTCTTTAAGCAAAGGCTGGAACATTCATAACCAAGGAGAGATCCACTGGTCTCCTCAAACAGTGTTCAGAATTGACCTGTTTTAATACATGAGCACAGTTCTGAGCAATAAACTTAATCTCTAAGATGGTGAAAGTTGCTTTAAAAGCAGCTGGCTGACATCTGCCTTCACGTTTCCATCAATGAACTCAATGCTGCAGCCAAGGTGGAGCAGATCAAGTTTGACGCCACGTCCATGCATGCCAAGCCTGAAGTGGCTGCACAGCAGAAGATGGTGGATGACGGCAGCGGTGAGGTGGAGGTCAGTGCTATTCTTCATGGTGCCTCCTTTAAAAACCAAATATGCAAACATACTGAAATGAAGGCCATATTTTAACATGTCCCGGGGGCCACCATTAGGTATGGCGGATAGAGGACAATGAGATGGTCCCCGTTGACAGAAAGTGGCTGGGCCACTTCTATGGGGGTGACTGCTACCTGATGCTGTACAAGTACGAGGTCAGCAAGAAGCTCCACTACATCCTCTACATCTGGCAGGTCAGTAGCTCTGTGGTCTCCCCCCAGCAAATGGTACAGCCAAATGCCAGTCACTTTCTGTAACCCCCTGCATGATACCAACGGCACAGGGCCGGCATGCTACCACTGTGGAGCTGACAGCATCCGCTTACCAAGCTGTGATCCTGGACCAGAAGTACAATGGGGAGCCAGTTCAGGTCCGAGTGCCCATGGGCAAAGAACCACAGCACCTCATGGCCATTTTCAAGGGCAAAATGGTCATCTATGAGGTAGGTTGGTACAACTGACTGACTTACCCCTGGTGGTGTCTCCAGAAAGCAGACAGTTCAGGACGACTTGCATGATGACCTATGGTGGTCCTGCCTTCTAATCTTGTTCCCAGTGTTTCCAAAGTTATGATGTCTGACTCATGTGTCCTGGGTTCCCAGGAGGGAAGCTCCCGGGAAGGAAGCAAGCAGCCACAGTCTAGTGCCAGGCTCTTCCATGTTCAAGGCACCAATGAGTTCAACATCCGTGCCACTGAGATGCCGGCTCGCTGTGCCAGTCTGAATTCCAATGATGTATTTGTGCTCAAGACAGACATCTGTTGTTACCTATGGTATGGAAAGGTAAGACAGCCCTCGCTCTCTGTGGATGTGCATATTTACGGGAACCGCATACTGAGGAATTGGAACCATTACAGAAAAGGTGCTCTGTCATATCTAACTGCCTTCTGGATGACGTAACTGGGTTTACTACCTGCCAAGCTGGAAAATAACAGTGCATCCTGAACCATGAAGGGCTGCAGTGGAGATGAGAGAGAGATGGGGAAAGCCCTGGCAGACATCATCTCCAAGAGGGAGAAACATGTGATTGCTGAAGGCCAGGAGCCTGCAGACTTCTGGGTGAACCTGGGAGGGAAGTCTCAGTATGCCAACAGCAAGAGGTAATACTCACGTCTCCCAAGCTGACTGGCTCTCTGCTCAACCACTCTCTCTTTAAGAGACACTTACTTCTGACCCTTGTGTCAATGACAAGGCTACAGGAGGAGAATCACAACATTTCACCCCGACTGTTCGAGTGTTCGAATCAGACTGGGCGCTTCCTGGCTACAGAGATCACAAACTTTACCCAAGATGACCTGGATGAGGATGATGTCATGCTGCTGGACATCTGGGACCAGGTGAGGCAACATAATCCATTGACTACCTTTGGTCAGCATTAGAAGGTCTGCTATACAGGCCACACTCTACCTAGAATAATCTCTTTAGTAATGACCCACACTCTTTCAGGTGTTCCTATGGATTGGGAAAGGTGCCAACCAGACTGAGAAAGATTCGGCAAATACTATGGCACAGGAATACTTGCAGACTCACCCAGGGGGTCGTGACATAGAAACGCCCATTCTGCTGGTCAAACAAGGGTTTGAGCCTCCCACCTTCACAGGCTGGTTCCATGCCTGGGATGCTCAAAAGTGGAGCGTGAGTCACCCATCCATCAATTATCGCCTCAATCCATCAACAATTTAGTCAATTGGACGTAATAAGTATATAAACAGTAGTAGAACCAGGACGATTTCTGCTGCCTGTGATTGTTTGGCATAATTCCTGAGATGGAAATCATGTCAGCACTTCATCATAAGTCCTATACCTATACTGTACTGTATGCCTCAAGGATGGGAAATCTTACGAGCAGCTGAAAGCAGAACTCGGAGACTCTACTGAAATAATCAAGATTACAATGGTAAGTCACCTTCTGGACAAATAAGAATAAATACCAGAGCACTCTGTTTGTGGTAGCCAACTCAATGTTTGAAAAGACTTCAGGTATGAAATCATTCTACTACCAGCTGACTCCACTCTTCCAAAAATGGGTAGTTTTTGGTTTATAAGAGGTATCTGGAGCTCTACAGACATACACTAATGTCTTGGTTAACAAGTACACAAATTCCCTGACATCTGAAAGTCATGTTTGGGTTGTTTCTAATTCTAGGATGTAGCAAAACCGAGCAACTCCACCATGGTGCAGAACTCCATTAGCACAACCCTCCCTACATTCCCTGCAGACAAACTAATGAACTGCCCAACGGAGAACCTGCCGGAGGGTGTGGATCCCACCAAAAAAGAGGTCTGTACCCACAGAACATTAGAAGGAAAAGGGTGGGGGACGAGATTCATGAATAAAAAAAAAGAAATTAATAAAGTCAAAGGTTCATAACATATTCTTCAAAAAAAAAAAAAAAAATCCAGAGCAATAAGCTGTTCTGGCACATGTACTGGTTAAACCAATAAATAATTCAGTTCATTCAGAGCACAGCCACATGTCAACCTTTGGCCGACAGAGAGCTTTTGTGACAGTGCTCCAAACATGCTGTAACGCACAAAGTTCAGCTGAGCTGTGTCCCCCTCAACACAGGAGTACCTCTCCAATGAGGACTTCACCAAGGTCCTGGGCATGGCACGACCTGAATTCTACTCCATGCCGATTTGGAAACAGAAGAACCTGAAGAAGCAGATGGGCCTTTTTTAGAGCTGGCAGCAGCAGAACAGAGCCTAAGACAAGCCTGCTGAAGAGCATAAAACCAAAATAGCCTGTGGTTAAAGTATAATTAGTATCACTGTGACTTAAGTGTTGCAGCACTCACAGAAGTACTTCTGGTGCAAAATGTGAACTCTGTGTTGCCTGACGAGAATATTTAAGCATATAAATGCATGAGAAAATCATATGACCTTCTGTAATTCTCTGGAAATGTAAGAATGTAGCATTTTTGTACTACTAGTGTTAATCAAGTTTTCTAATGAGACCCTCTGTGGTAAACTGTAATTCCAGCCCACATCAGTAGATCTAGTCTGTCCCTATGACTTCCCACCTATACCAGCAGATATACTATACCACTAGATGATCCACCCTACAATAGTAGATTCAACCTACACCTGCAAAATCTAACGATTCTTTGCTTTGACTTTCTGCCTTAACCCCATCTTCTAGGGAATTTACGGTGTTATAATATGATGTCAGTTACTAGGAGTAATTCACATAGTTCAAGTCTAATGACCTTTCTGAAGTCATAAATATAATCTCATTCCCATGTTTTGCTACATGTTGGTTTTTCCCTCCTCTTCTCATCTGTGAACTCTGATCATTGTTTTCATTGCCACGGGTTAGCTCTTCACCCAATCTCCAAGTCATATGGTCCCAATTGCTGCCGTGATTGGAGCCGATGCTGAATGCAAATAAAGTTACACAAACATGCCAGCTGGGTTTATGTGCATTCAGTGGCCTGTACTATGAAGGGGGTTTAACCAAATCAGACTTAACCCCAAGGTAATTTGCGAATGCGAGGTTGACAAAATCAGGTTGACTCCATCGGGGCTAATCAGTACTACGACGCCAGTTAAGAAGTTGATTTGTTAAATCAGTGTTAACTGCATTGGAGTTTGTGCGCGTTCACATAAATGGAGCACGTTCAGCAACGCAAGGCACCGTTTGACTC